TTATTTTCAGTTGCCTGAATGGGAGAGCTGGAAAGTTGACTAATTTTTAGTGAGAGCTTTCGATATTTTTTCTGAATGGTGCTGAATGTTTTTTTGGTGAAAGTTCGTCGGAACGACTTCACTTTTCCGTTACCGGGCTGGGACAGGGCTATATTTGGTATTTTAGGAGTTTAGTTTGCGGGTCGTGTTAGGGGCTTGTTCTCATATAAAAGGTCATATGAGGACTGATATAAGTTGCTATATGAGAGAAAATGAGGGTTGATTTTTTGGAGAGATTTTGTCCAGGAATTGGAAAAAAATACCAGATGATTGGGAAATTTCTTTTATTTTTTTTGAAAATCCTAAACAATTAAGGAACTATTTAATTATTTTCTTTTCCCTTTTACTCCCATTTTCTTGGTTTCCAGGCAATCATTTTCCCGAAATAAGCAGGTTAAATTTTTAAGTTTATTAAAGCCTTTTTCTTCGTAAATTAGGTGATTAGGGTCAAAGATTAAGATTTTGAAGAGATAAAGATTGGTATACTTAACCTTTTGGAGATTGCCGTATAATCTTGGTTCTTTGCCTAAAGGGATTTGGCACAATTTTTCCACATTAATGTAATTATCAGCAACCAGCTTTTCAATTTTTTCTTTAATATGCCGACTTTTGACTAAATGAAAGTGATCCGTTTCCAAAAGTTCTTTTAATTCTTCTTGGCAAGTCAACTTTAAGTTCTGAAATAGTTCAGAGGTAAATATTTTACTGTCTATCTCCTGACTAATAGCATTAGTAAATTTAATTTCTGGCTCATGCAAGCAGTCCGTAATCAGTTCACTAAAATCAAAAACAATCTGGGTCATTAGTTAGTCAAAGCAATAATCTCTTTTGGTTCGATAAAGATATGGGGAGTTCTTTCTCCGTTAGCCTGTTCGCGGGCTTGTTCTCACGGTTCATCCTGAGTTTGGAAGAAGAAATCAATTTCTCCACCTTTTTTTTTCGAATTTTGGTAGTCCCTATGAATCTTAGACAAATAAGATTTAATGGTCTTGTCTTCGATATCTTCCACCTGCTCGAATAAACAATCTAGACTTTCATGTTCTTTAAAATTAAGTTTCATTTGCCGATAAACTGATTCTAAAAATGGTCCACCTCCCCAAGCTTGAAACTTTTCTTTAAACAGGACTTTATTTTCTTTTTTTAAGATTTCTCGATAGGTGAGATAAAGGAAGTCTTGAATTAGAGAATAATCATCAATACCTACTTTTTTTCAAAAATACTTCGCTACTGACAAAGGATTTAAATTTAATTGCTGAGGTTTATTGGCTCGAACTGACATAATACTAACTTATTTTACTCTTATCAAGAGTTATTTATTTTTTTTTCACTATTTCTTCTTTTAAACTAACTGAGAACTTACATTTAGGCACTCTTTTACTAGGAACTTTCATCTTTTTCTTAGTTTGTAAATTCATGGCCATACGAGGCTTAGTCATAGTAGTTTTTAGAGAATAGTAGCCAATAAACCTAACTTCTTCCCCTTTAACCAGAGCTTTTTTGGTTTGCTCTAATAATTCCTCAATTATTGTAATTACTTGATTTTGCGGATACTTAGTTTTTTTAGCTATTCTTTCCGTGAGTTGTTTTTTACCAGTGATTAGGGATTTAGACATATATTATTTATTTTTGGCTTAGACTGGACGGAATTTCACCAAATTACTTAAATCAGAATCCTTAATATACAAAGCAGTCGTGCTAATTTTTGAATGTCCGAGAACTTTCTGCAACACTGGTAAAGGCATGCCAGAAATAGCATTATAAGTCGCGAAGCAACGGCGGAGAGTATGTGGGGCAAGTTCAATATTCTCGGCAATGTTTAGTTCTTTTTTAACTTTCTCCAAGAAATCAAAAAAACTAATCCGATTAGTAGTATTGGGCTTTCATTCTCTTTTTTTGAGTTCTTTAACTAAATCAGGACTAACATAAACTCATCGCTCCTTTTGCCTTTTCCCTCTCAGTAAGTAAAGATTTTTATAGGCTGGTTCTTGGTGTTCCAAAGATAAATCAAACCCAATGGCTTCGGTGATTCTTAACCCGACTTTTCAGCCTAGTAAGAAAAGACATTCATGGGCAGATTTCTTGAATTCTCCTTTTTTATTAGGTCTAGTTAGTAAATAATCCCATATTTGTTGTAATAATTGATTGGTAGGAAGAATGGTTAGTTGTTTTTTCTTTCTAACATTTTTAATCATACTTCCAACATTTAATTCTGATTTGGTTTGCTCCATGTATTAATTTTTGCTCTTTTTCTTACATAATCACCAATTTTGTTAGGAGAATTTAAGACTTAGTTTTGGACTGATAAAGTTCTAAATCTCTAATATTCTCTAAACCTTTTTTCCCTCAGGGAGTAGTGAAAATATTTCTTTCTTTTAAAA